GCATGCATTTTATTTAGTAAATACAGGTATAGGTAAGGGTATATAGAATTTCTGAGTCTAAATTATGTAGATGCTAAACCATGTAAGTATCAAAGAAGCAGTTGCTTAAGAGGAAAGAGTATATGACAAACGTGTTGGTTTCAAAAACTACAGTAGGATGGTTGCATAGGTTATGATTCAAAATAACTACTGTATCCCAAGGGTTTATGGAAGTTGGTAAAACATATAAACTTGTTGAGTTTCTTGGACAGCTTACTTTAAAAAAAAAGTTTCAAGGAAAAAGCAAGTTTTTTTAAAATACTGGTGAAGATTTTCTGTATTTACCATGTAAAAGGTACAACTCAGTCTGTTTTTTTTGCATTTGAAACAGGGCTTCTACACATCTTAACAATTGGGAGTCAGGTTCTCGGACTTGTGATGTAGCTGCATGAAATCAGCGGTGCAGGCTGCTGAGAGGGGGAGGCAATTGAGTAGTGTTCAAAGTGGAATTTTAATTATACGCATAGCATTTTAGTCTTTGGTTTATTAATGACCGTGATTATGAATGTTAAGCTCTCCCTCTTTTTTCCTTTCCTTTTTTTTTTTTTTGCTCCCTTGTTTTGTTTCATTTGCTTGGTTATTAGAATCAGGGGCAAGTTCAAACTGTTATGGCTGCAGAGTCATAACAAAAGTCAAAGCGCTGAGTGAACAAGCGAGATTTTATGGAAGTGCTAAGACCCCATCTCCACATCTCTGCGGAGAACGACCACGGAGTTCAGCGAGACTTGTGCCTAGAAGAGGGCTGTACATGATTGTCGTCCTAATATTTCGTTAAAGGCACTGTTCGATTTAATGGGGCTTTTTGAGCGAGGGAACGCGATTCTGCTGGCCTGGGCCGCAAGGGCAGCTTGCAGGAGATCGACCGTGGCCAGATCTCGCGCACAACCTTCGCGCAGGAATCTATTGCTGCGCCAGACAAAGCGCACTGGGGTGGAGAGAGCGCCGCGTCCAGTGCTTGCAGAGCGATTGTGGAAAACGCGGCGACGACCCTGGTTAAAACAAGGGCTACTTAGTTTAATGGGAGCCGCCGCAGGCAAGATGCGTGTAAGGAACGATCGGCGTGGAAGAAGCGGAGACCTCCGACATGAGCTGGTGCCAGCCAATAGGGGTATTTCGCAGAGACCCAATGAACTGGCAACGCTGCGACTCACTCGACGCTTGCAGGACCAAATCGGGCACTCGGTTCAGAAGCTCCGAGTGGCGCGACTTGGCCTTTTCTTAGAGCTGCAGATTTCAGCTCTTTCGCCCCCCCCCCCCCCGCTTTTACACTGAAGATGAATTATCCCCATGCTATGTTTACTGAGGGCCGCAAAAATCCAGACGACCACTAGCTGGCAACAAGGAGATAAAGAAAAAGTAGGGCCACCAGATTCGGTAACCCTACCTTTTCTGCGGCTGATCAACTGACGTTGAATAATTCGTGGGTATCCCTTTAAACGAGCCTCTACGCGGCCCTTCCCCTCTTCCTCCCCCCTCCCTGCCAGGGTTGGGCAACTCGCGAAGATCGACAGCGAAGACGACGCAGGGGCCTGCGTAACGGGCCCCGCCTTGGCCAGCGCCTTTAAGAGAGGAGTGGCACGTGATCAGGCCCCTCCTCGCGCTCCCTCTTCGTTCACACCTGCTTGTAGGAAGGGGAGGGTGTGAGCCACGGAGCACAATATTCAGGGGAAAAAAGAAGGGAAGTAGAAATAAACTATCGCGTGGTTTCTACTCAGTCACGCGCATGCGAGTGGAGGGCAGACCGCTGCAGGGATTTCCTCATCCAAAATGGCTGCTGCGATGGATGTTGACACTCCGAGTGGGACCAACAGTGGTGCCGGTAAAAAGCGCTTTGAAGTAAAGAAGGTGAGAAAAGGGGAGGTGGTTTGACCTGTAATGGTAGCGAAGCCGACCGGACTGGAGAGGGTGTCGATTCTTCTTGGGGGCTTCTTTATTAAGTTCGAATGGGCAGATGCTTAGAGTAGGTAGCATCATCCTGGGCCAGGTTTAAGAAGGGGCTGTCACGCGTGGGAGTGAGCCGCCAAATGCTTGGGTGTTGTGTGTCTCCGTGCGAAAAGCGATAGGAAGAAGAGAGAGATGATAGGAAGGGTGGCGGAGAAGTTTACCGGTAGACTTCTGTAGTCACAAGGCTTTTTAAAGACGGCATTTCGATTACCAGCTCTCATAGCCCTTTGATTTGGGGTGCTTGCGGTCGAACAGTAAGGTCGGTGACCAGGAAAATATTGGATACATCAGGAAATTGGCCCTTCTGGCTCCGTTCTAGCTCCATACCAGTCGATCTTCCTAATCTCCATGTGGCAAAGTTAGTAAATATGAGGTTATTAATTTCCAACCAGTATGCATCCTTATGAAATAGTCCCGCAATTAAGTTCGTTAGATATGAAAGTGTTATGTGTGTATGAGAATGTACTGGTGATTTTAAAAGATACTTATAGCTGTCAGTGTGGTTAGCTAATAGGAGTGAAGTCCAAGAAAGACAAAGGTGTATATAGGCCCATCTCCAGGGATCAATAATTCTTCTGAAAAGTAAAGTAAAGGAAAATGAAATGCTTAGAAATAAGTCATTGCTAACAAAGACTGAAAGCAACTTCAGCAAAATATTTGCTTGAAATAACATAGGCATTTTCTGAATTGGTACATAGTTTTTGAGTTACAAAACAACCCATTTTCCATCTCTGATTGGAGGGCTCATTGCAGAAAAAAATCAAGTTATTTTCATCTCTGCTAAAATAATGGATGCAACTGTATATCTGCATTAAATTAGAACATATTATTGTAGTCTTTTAGCATATGCATTATGAGTCAGGTTCAGATAAAGGTACAGGCTCAGCATTGGTGATTCACTGACTATTGAGAATGGTTGCTTGTTTTCCTGATATTTCTTAGATGGGGTTCACACACACACACACACACTTTATTTGATTTTGGATTAGCATGGTGTATTAATGTGGTAATTTGAAAATGGTGGTTTAAAACTTTAGCATGTTATGTAAATATTATCAATTATAATCTATTCAGTAATCCATAGTTAAATCAACTATGGCTTAATATGAAATATGAACAAGGCCTTTGATTTACTTTTGTACAATGAGAACAATAGAATATCTCTGTGCAATAATACTAGTGGTTGGGGGAAATCACTGGGACTGAATAAAAAATGTTTATGAAATAATTAGACATGACTGACTTTGAGTATCGTATCACTGTTCAGTAAAACATATTCAGTAAAATAACTGAATTAGGTCAGGGATGACTGGGAGGGAATAGCCAAAGTTGATTCTTCTGTAGACACTGGTATGCACTTAAATGTCTCTTCTTTTTATAGTGGAATGCAGTTGCACTCTGGGCTTGGGACATCGTTGTTGACAACTGTGCAATTTGCAGAAACCATATTATGGATCTCTGTGAGTACTTGTAGAGAGAAAGTGTGTGTTTGTGTTACAGGTGCTATAATTACAGATGTGCAAAGACTAATAGAAAAGTTGAGTGACATGATGAAAAAATAACTTCAGATGGAAAGTAGGACAGTAGTTGCCCCCTGCCATTTGTACCAGATTCCTCTGTCCCACTCCCAGTGTTGGAGTTGTAGATTCATAGACTTGGGTATGGGTTGCAAACTTCTGAATTCTCACTGAGTTGCAGTTCCTTTGTAGGGCTGGAGATTAGGAATGTCGTAACTGTAGACTGATTTCTGGTTTTTAAAGTGAAAGCCTTTGAGATTAGCTATAAATTAATTTGAGGAAAATTCTGGATGCTAGAATTTATCATCCTTTTGAAGCCTTGCTGTCATTATGGAACGGTGAGGCAAAGCAAGCCATTACTCTTGAATGTCCTTTCTGACACTATAAACATTTTTGTAGTTTTGTGCTTAGTTCCAAGGGGTGAAACAGTTTGGATAACACTTGGAGTACATCTGGCGTGGAACTTGTCATGAGGACAATCAGTCATATGCTAGAGCATGCAGTTAGTGAAAGCAGCAAAGAAAATTACTTTGCTGAATCTGTTCCATCAAGTAGCTATTTAGAGGAGCTTTGTAGAGTGATACAAAGCCTTCTGTTAATATACTGGAAATACTGGAGATCTGCTATAATGAATTTCCTAAGTTCTTTCAAGATAGTGATTTGATGCAGATTCTATTAAGCTGTCCCTTGCTGTATCTTTTCTGTTTCTGTGTGATCAATGTCTGCCTATCCTGCTTGAGGATATTGACAAGACTCTTGAAGAAATGTGACCAAATATGTGCCTTTTCAATTCCTGCCCATATTATGGCATAATTCACCTAGCTGAAAGGAATGGCTGGATGCATTGAGGATTTGCTAATGTGTCATCAGTCCAGAAGTTATCTATTTTGAATGGGATTGTATGTCCACTGCAGGAATACATACATTATCTGGAAATGCTTGTAGATTCACTAAAGGAGCATATCATCTTGGGAGCCAAGACCACTCTTTGGGCTGATACAGCATCTAAGTTTTCCTTAGGGACAGCCCTGGTGCACTAGTCTGTGCTAATCTCAGGTTTGGATTACTGTTACATACTCTGTACATCTTCCCTAGAGAGTAGTCCAGAAACCAAAGTTAGTGCAAAATACCATTAATATATTACAACTAAACTAAATGCATTAAGCTGCCTGCCAGTCAGCTGCTGAGCCATTTTTAAAATAGTGGTGTTAAGTATTAAGGCCCTAAACAGCATAGGGCCAGGTTATCGAAAAACTGTCTATTTCTATATAGCCTATCCTTTTTTCACTTAGGAGCAGATATCCTGCTGGCCAGGGTTACGGATCACAACTCACCAGTGATTCATATAAAGATGTAAATCTTCCAGAACTTTTGAAATAAGAGATAAAGATCTCCTAGAGAAATAAGAAAAACCAGAAATTTGGAGGGAAATGGAAGGATAGACAATATTTAATAGCTTTACAGATATGAAGCCTATATGTACATAACTTGGTTTGCTTATGAAACTATGCGTAGAAGATGAAAAAGTACAGTTTATTCAGACAGTAATTATAAATGCATTGATTAAATTTACTTAAAATCTTTTAATTTCTGTCAAACTGAAGTATAAGCTTCTGAAATCTAAAAAATGTAGCATCTCTTCATTTTCATTTTTTTGCCCTCCTGCTTCTAATATTGAAAACAGACGAAACCATCTACAGTATAGTAAAATAAAGGAAATTATGTATTTTGGATTATATCCTCCATTGTATCAAACAGATAAAACATATTCAGGAAGAAATGAGAAAGGGGAGAAACATGACCCTGAGTATACATATTGCCACATGAAATTATGTTTAATCAATCTCATTTTAACATGAAGTACTACTACTAACAATTTCTATTTCACCTGATCCCTTATTTTCATCATGTTCATGAAATTCTGAAAAACGAAGGCTAATTTCTCTAACTTTCCATTTCTTACTTCATTTTCTGATTTTGCGTATATCCAAAGATAGGACTTTTTTTTCATACCATACCAACATATATCATTTAAAAGAACAATACTTTGTAATTCCTTTTTTAGGGTTTCAACTTGAAAAAGATACAAGGGAGAAGAGAATTTTTCCAAATGTTTTCATTTTCCCCCCATACTTTTGCATATTTAAGTGTAGAAATGCCATTCTCTGTAATGGCCATCTTTTTCCAGACTTTCTGATCATGATTGCCAAAGGTGTGTGATGCAGTTTCCTGCTGTTTTGAGATAGCAAATACATGAAAAGTATCTTGTAAACCCTAAACGCTCCAGGTTCCCCAATAAATCCCCACAGGTAGAGCATAGCTACCTGTATTTTGCATCATTGCACTGTCCAGTGTGCTTTCCAAAGTCAGGAAGTACAGCCTCCAGTTATATAAAAATTGCCTAACTTGCTTTGAAATCTTCACCTGGTTGTATTTACTTGCTCTGTATTTTACAGTGCTTTCATCAAATCCTTCCCATCACTTGGGTGAACAACAACTCTTCTAGCATGGCTGCTAGATGTGTACTGTAGGAATTGGATTCATAAATACCAATTTAGCTTAGTTGCCATTGTTTCTAATACACAGAGAAATGGAGGTCTCTCAGTTCAGTACCTCAATTCCAGTTATAACTCTATTAAACTCCAGACACATTATTAGAGTGCTAACATCATCTGTACAACTATCTAACTGCAGAAAAAAAAAACAGAGAAAGCTCAAAAAGGTTTGTAAAACATGCTATGGGAAACAATGGGAGCAATTACTATCATTTATTGTCAATTCTCTGGCTCCTTGTTTCTGCAGCTTGGCCTTGCAGTGGCTGCTACTTCTGTTCATTACAAATCTGAGCAACTCTACTTGAAAAAGTAAACACACTTCTTCACCTCATGTTCCTTCATTTTCCCTTTGCAAAGTCAATGACAAGCTCTGCTGTCTCATAAGTTATTTGTAACACAGAAGAGTACATGCAGAGTAGAACTTAACTCTTGCACTGTAGATATGATCCCTCGCATTTTCTATGATCTTTCATTCAGGAGTGCATGGAAAACTATGGTAGTAGGAATTCTTTGTTCTATTTCAGAATATATACTAAGAGGCATGGGCAACATTGCTAATTTGTGATTATTGCACTTTTTTTACAAGAAGCTTTTATTAAGATACTGCAAATCAGTTGGTAACTATTTGTGAAAAACGAGCTGTATTTTAAAAAGTGGGGTTGGCATTAAATTCCAGTATTGATTCAAGGTTTATAATGGCAAACACAATTACACACAATTTCTCATGTTAAAGAAATATTCTGAGATATCTATTTAGGTTCAAGTAGTTAATTATAATGCATCATCCAGTTTTATGTCTAATTTTTACACAGAATGCAAATTTTAATAATTCAGAATACATTTTAAACATCAAACATACTACTGAATAAAAGGTGGATAGTAGATTTACTATACAGAATAAATACTGGGATGAGATGAGTGTTGCTAAGAAAATCTGGCACTTCTAAAATTGCATAAATTAATTGAATTATTAAAGTACTAGCATCCTTTATAGGTTATTGCATCACTTTTCTGTGACTGAGCAGTTTATCATACTTGTCCTAAGTTTAAAAGTATTGTCATGCCAGATTGGATCTAAAGATCCTGTAATGGCTTCCTAATATAACTTCATTGTTCTACTGAATGGAAACATATAAGTGTTTCAATAAACTTAAACCAAACACATTTAGAACATTATATTATCACTGTTGGTGATGAAGGGCAGAGTTATGTAACACATTTGAAAGAGATCACTCTATCTATTCACCTACCTACCTACCTACTTATTTAAGCTTTTCTTAAAATGGTTGAACCAAATTAGAAATACACATAACAAAAAATTAAATAGCCACAGTTTAAAGGGGTTTTTTTTATTCCCTTGTGGTGATATTGAAGAGGAGAAACAAGTATGCTGCAGTTCATTGGCTACTAAGGCAGCCAATCTTAAGAGCTGGATTATTTAAAATTCTTCATCATGGTATGAATTCTCTTTTTGTCCATGGTAATATTAATATATAGTACCATATGTGTGATATTAGTATATTACTTGTTTGGATTATATCCATGATTAAGAATTTTAAAGTTGATCTAAACCACATTTAGCATTATATATGCAGCTCTTTCTAAAACAAACCAAAAAAGGTGCAATATAATAATCTGCTTTGAAGGAATGCTAAATAATGTATAGGACATAACAACTGAATAACTGGATGTTATAAGTAGCAACAAGAAAAGTTTAACACAGTTGTGTTAACACAGTTGTGTTAATTGTTGCTAGAATTTATTATAAATAGTTTGTACAAGGAACTAAAGTTCTGCACAAGAATACATTTAACATATCTAGAAATTACTGGAATGAATAATAAGGTTGGATGCAAATCATGTTCATAGATTATGTTTTTGTATTTATAGATGGGTCTAAACAGCTTTCATGCGCATATTAAGATAAAACAATAATAAAACAAATAACACAAAACATCACCGCCCCAGAAACAAATTAACAGCATCTGAATCCATAACAGGATGATTCTCTCATCTCCAGTCTACTCCCAAGTCTTCCTGGAATACACGGGTTCTAATGGCTTTCCACAAACCCAAAAGGACAGGAACCAATCTAATCTTGGGACAGAAGCTGTTCCAGAGAAGGAGGGCTGTGACTGAGGTTTGTCCCCATGGTCCATGAAGATGACATTTATTAGAAGGAACTCAAAGCTTACATGGAGAAAGTCTATGATTCTATTATTCCAGAACAAGTATTGCTAGGATATTTTTTGTGCTTCCAAATTTATTCATACAGATATACAATGAAAATCATATCTATCTATGTTTGCTTCAAATCTGTCATTTGGTATTAAAATGGTCATCCATGTTACATATTTTCCACTGAATAACAAATAAGATTAAACCACTCTGTAACCTTATTCCAAGTGTAAAATAATGTATATGTTCATGGTAGAAGGAAAGGGGTGTAGAGAAAGATGATGAATCCTACCTTTTTCTCTGCTGGTATGATTCTGAGCACTTCCTCTGAAAATGGGGACCTCGGATTAAAAAGGTTCTTCATTCTTAGGTTAGAAGAATCCCAGGTGCATTATATTTATGTATCTAAAATCTGATTTTATGGTTTATAGGAAATAGCAAGTTGAAGGTTATACACACACACACACACACACACACATGCAACCCCAGGTATGTCACATTACAGCCATCTAACTTCAATATTATCTACTGTATCATTGTTCTGAAATACCTGCATGCAACCGGGCAGTAGAAATGGTACGAATAACATGGTTCGATGGTTTCTAGAATATAACTGGACTCTAGAATTTGGTTGGGAAATTCTCAGCTCCATAAATTATTGCTACAGGATGCTACAAGTTTGTATTGCTTCCTCCAGTTCATTTAATATTTACAATAATTGCTGGGAAAGATCATCTAGGCATTTGGAGTGAAGTTCCATCTGACGGAACCCAGCTCTCTGTCTCTCTTTCAGCTTGACTAATGCCCACAATCAATGGTTGCTTGCTAAAGGCTAGGAAATTGAAGCTAAAGAACTAAAATGAAATCCACGGTGGTTTATGACACAATTTATCATAAATATTGTATCTTGTTTTTAATTGCATTTTATTGTCCTTAAGAATCAGAATCATAGATTCAGAATTCAGAAGACCCATATGCAATCCTTACTTTTCTGCCAGCAGTGATTCCATTCTTTATAAAGCACATGCTATCTACAGGCCAAAAATAAACTGATAGTCCCAATAAGCCTTGAGCATTTCTTAACTTTGAGATTGGGAATAAATAATCATTCAGAAGTCAAATTAATAATAAATTCCCTTTTCTAGTTGCAGGAAAAAATTATCTTTGAGTTTGAATCACCATTCTCTTGTTCCACTTGATATAAATATTAAAATAGCCAATGTAATGCAGTGATTAAGGCATTGGACACTGACCTGAGAAAGCCAAATCCCTCTCAACTTCAGAACTCCCTGTGTTATACTTGGCTAACCAATCACTTTCTAACAGTTTAATGCTACAGCAAATGTTTGTGATGGGGATAGAAATTAGAGAAGCCCCATGGATTCTGGGGTGAGATCTGAGAGAGAAAGCAGGGTAATAAATGCATAAATAAAGAAAACTAAGAGAAGGGTCAAGTCAGGTTCAAATTTTTGGAAACAGAACTGCTTTATAAAGAATGGAATCACTGCTAGTTTTCCATAGACGTTGTCAATCATTGAAGTAAATGTTGAAGGTCAAAAGATGCAACATACAGGCTTTGTACTAGTGTGGTGACATGCTTCTAAATAAGATGATTCAAAACACTGATAATTTTTCCTTTTTTTCCCTTACAAAAGTAAACCCCCGTTGGGACAGGTTCTGATTCTCTCTAACATTTTGTTCTATCAAAATAGCCTGTCACAATATTAATATGAATTGGTCTGCAAAAACTTTTAGGATTGCTATAGTCATTTTTTCTAAAATAGTGGAACCAACTGTTTTAGATTTCTACAGAGCATTAAATCTGGCTTAAATACTTAAATACTTAGAGTAAATAAAATGGCCCAGTTTAGACTGCTTAAAGTTAGGCATATACAAACAAGGTGATTGCATATCCTCCTGGGTTAAGTTTTCTTTTGAAAAAGAGATCATATACTCTTTTTTATAGTAGATTTAGTGACATTTTGAAAGTTGCTTCAACTTCAGAATGTGTGTACTTTTATGCCTCTTGATTAGTGCCTAAACACCTGTTGGCTGCAAAAGCAAAACTGTATCTTCATGTTCAGTATACCTCTAGGTACTGGTTGCTGGTGATATATAGGGATGGTTATTGTTATGATGATGTTATTTTTGTGAATTCTATAATATCTAGTAGTGGGTACCCATTGTAGAATGTAACTGGAATTATTTAAACAATATCTTGCCAACCTCATAATTTCTATGTTCTTACAGAACTGAGAAAAATCTCTGCAAAGTAATGTAAAATTGTACAAAATCCTATTCTGAAATTTTTGCTGCTATGCTGACCTAAATGACTCTCCATGGTTATTGAGATCTTCAGAGGAGGTTCAGCATATTAGTTTTTTTAAAGGTCTTTAAGCCATCTTTTTGAGCAGGCTTTTAAACTGTATAATTTATTTCTTTTTATTTGTTTTACTTGCTATTTTATCTGTTTTTAATGTCTTATATTAAATGTATTGTAAATAAGAGATTTCGGTAGCAAGCTCTATACCACAGTAAATAAATAAATATAATTCATTTAAGTTAGTTTAGCTAAATATAGATAGCATGATTACTCTAGTATTTTAACTGATTTTCCCCTTCTGTCACACTGCAAATTATAATTGGCTGACGGTTTTTGAAGGGTTTTTTTAGGTCTGTACCCAAGGCTTTGGAGAGCCATCATTACACATTCTTGAAGTATATTCTAAGTAGAAGGCATCTTTATTATGCCCAGCTTTTTGGGGCTTCAGGACCCATTCCAAAGCCTTACACAGCCATGGATGGAAGGAACTTGTCCATGTCACTATGATTAATAGTGTAAGAACCAGTGTTGCTTGCTATGCTTGGTCTGCTGGCTTCTATAGCTTTTTATGATGTAATGAAAATCTAAATCAATAGAGAAATTGTCTATTATGTCATATTGAACCTTCTTTGTTACCCATACAATATAGCTGTCTCCTTTCTCCAGTCCCACATTTAGCAGAGAACATACTTGTTGTCACAGGTTCTTGTTCAAATGAGTAGTTATGAATCTTAACATTAATCTTGCTCTTGTTCTCACAGGTATAGAATGTCAAGCTAACCAAGCATCAGCTACCTCTGAAGAATGCACTGTTGCATGGGGTGTTTGTAATGTAAGGAATCTACTTTTCTGCCATTTGAAGACATTCATTTATTATTCCAGCAGTAAATGAAAAAATAAGCTAGAAGCCTCCATTAAGAAGCAAAATATTTGGAACCAGCCTCCAAATTTTGGGGAGTGCAGCAAGCCAAATAGCATTCTCCTTCCTGACATAATTGAAACCTGCTCGTTTACTCTATTGTATTCACTTGAAACTATTCTCGATCAGGCTTTGCCTTGCAATTCTTGATGATCATTTTTACGCAGAATATGCTGCTGATCTCATCATCTTCTGAAGTAATTCTGCAAAGTAAACATAAAAATAAAACAGTTTACAGCATACTGTTTTCATAACTTTTTCTCTTTTTTATTTTTTAGCATGCTTTCCATTTTCATTGCATTTCCCGCTGGCTTAAGACTCGGCAGGTATGCCCATTAGATAATCGAGAGTGGGAGTTCCAGAAGTAAGTATCATATGCTTGCCTAAATAAGGGAAATATAGTTAACCATAGCATATGTCTTAATTTCAGCTAGGTGTCTTGATTATAGTTACAGCATACATTAACTTCAGTTTTGGCATGCACTCCCATCTGCTTTAAAGGGAAGTAGATGAGCATGTTATGAATTAACCCTTTAGGGAGCAGAGAAAAGTATCATTGATAAAAAGTATGGCATACACTTGTATATATGTAGACAAAGATACACATATATTTCATTATGTAAGTAGAATGGTTGAGTACTCAAGACTAAGCATCTTTGAAAAGAAAGTTAGTTAATCTATTTAATGTCTTTTAAGATACTAATAACAGTATAAAGTATATTTGTAAACCAGCTTAGTTAGATAGATAACAATTTGCAACTGAAGACCAAAGCACATTTACAGCTACATTAGCAACAGTTTATGACCAAATGACTGTTAAGTTACAAAATTTTGTAAGAATGTAAAGTTCTTTGGTTACAGTAAGCAGCACATAAAATCTCTATAATATTAATGGAGAGATTTCTGTTGACTTTAATTACTGTATATGAATTAATAAGATTGCAGCATCTCTGTATCTTAAACAAAAATGGCAATTGAATTTCAGAGCAAAGAGATAATATTGCTTAAGATTCACAGAAGTTTGCTATACATTCTATGTCATGTAATGTAGAAGTGTGCAAAGCATTTCAGGACAAGTGTGCCCATCAGTTAAATATGGTATAAGCATTATCCAATGCTTCATTCCTTTTTAAATGGCAAAACTGCCAGCTTGTGCAAACCAGCAGTTAACAAACACTGTATGGATATAGGAGTTATTCAGTATGATTTCCCAATTTGCAGGTGCTATCCAATAAATCAGGCAATAAAACCTATTTTCCTCTGGATGTTTTCAACCATCTCATATCTGTCCATTTAAGCATGACAAACAGGAAACATTTGTGACTTTGGCATTCAAAACATCTGGAAGATTTCAGATTGTCTACAAGTCAGGACTCCTTCAAATTAAGATCAACTTCTGGTGGCTTCATGGAAATGTTCATGTAGTTTTCTTGCCAACCAGAAGTGACTTTCTTCCAGGATGTTTTTAACTTCAGTTTAACCAACCGTCCTGCTGTTTCCTATTGGTCTCCCATCCAGGTGCTAACCAGATTATGTACATGGCACAGGCCAGGTTATTTTCAGGACCACCTCTCCCTGAGAGTATCTGCCCACCCTACTAGGTTAGATAGGGTGGGCATACTCCAGGTTGCCTTCACTTAAATCTTGTCATCTGATGGGATATCAGAGGCATGTCTTCTAGGTGGCTGCCTAAGTGCTTTGGGATAGCCTCCCACATGAGATCTGAGGGATCCCTACCCTTTTAGCCTTTTGGAAGGCCATAAAGAACTGGCTCTTCCCTCAAGCATTGGGCTAGGATGGGAGTTTTTCTGGGAAGCTGTTTGGTGTATTTTTATATTTATATTTGTTTTTATGGATTGTTTTGAGCCGCCTAGAATCATTACATGACATAGTTGGCCGTATAAGTCCTGTAAATAAATAAATGTATCCTTGCCATAGATTATGAAGCTAAATAACTTATTTATAGCTTAGAAAAATGATGCTATTCTGACATAATTGCTGCGTAGTCCTAAAAGGATTTTTTTTTTTTTTAGGTATGGACATTAGCAGGAGATCCAAGATCACCAAGTTTATTCTGTCTTAACTTAAGCTTTCCACAATGCAAGTGGGCTGATGCTGTTATGTGCATATCCCAGTTTTGTTTCTTCTTTAACGCAGTCATTGTGAATAGTAATAAATCTTTTTGGCCTCCTGTTTGAGTTGCTTCTTGAATTTTCATAGCTTAATTATTTTAAAATGGATATCAGTTCCTTGCAATTATATGTTCTGAATAACTGTTTACACATAATCCATAATTGTGCATA